TCACTGGGTGGATTATGGGATTTAAGTAATGTGATTGCTTAACCTAGTGCTAGATTCAGTAGATGCTCAGGCAGTGCCCACTGTGACGTGTGGGATAGGCAGCCCCTCAGCTGGCCCCCAGCGACCCCCAGCCCCTGGCCTTTAAGCCCTCATGTAATCCCTTCACCTTGAGAAAGTGGAGGCCTCAGTTCCTCGCTGTTTAGGCCTCTCTGTGAGGCAGCACACATGACAGATCCTCCCCTCTGAGTGAATGAGACAAAGCCAGCAAGACAGAAGTCACAGTCTTTTTGAAACCTGGGCCTTTTGGCCTAGAATTAATGACTCACTTCTAACTGCACAGAAAAAGTGGTGAGATGCCACTTTAGAGATTAGATTACAGAAAGATTGTGGCTTCCATCTTGTTCACACTCTCGCTCTCTCCCTTGCTCACTCAGAGGGAAGGCAGCTGCCAAGCTGCGTGCTGCCCTGTGAAGATGCCCACATGGCGGGCAACTGATGTCCCCAGCCAGTGAGTACCCGGGGCCCGCCAAAAGCCCCGTGAGTGAGCCTAAAAGCAGATCCTCCCCCAGGGGAGCCTTAAGATAAGGGCAGCCAGCTGATAGCTTGATTCAAGTCTTGTGAGAGTCACAGGCACCCAGCTAAGCCATGCTCAATTCCTGACTCAGAAACCATGAGTTCATAAATGTTTGTGGTTTTAAGTTACTAAGTTAATAAAATGTGGAAGGCTGTGTGGTTTCTTTGGGAGAACCAGGGCAGACTTCTCAGAGGAGGCGTTTCTGTGCTGGGCCTGGAATGGTGGACAGGAAGTAAACTGGAGGAGAAAGTGGAGAAAGGTTCCCAGGCAGGGGAACAGCAAGCAGGTGTATTCCAGGAATGTGAACTCTGGCTTGGTGGAAATCACCTCACCTACATAAATACCTGGATGGAAATGCCCTAGTTGAGGTGAGAGTGGGCTCTTGTGCTGTCAGGGGTACACGTCTTCACAGGGCCTGTGCCTTTGTCGTGTGCTGCCTTACACCTTGCCCTCAGGTTCTCTGGCATGAGCTTCCTGATGCCCAGCGCGCTTGTACCTCCGGGACATCAGGGAAGTGCCTCCCTTGTCCCGGCCACGCTTTCCCCTCTCCTGCAGGTGATACTTCTTTTTTAAGAAAATATGTTTTTATTGATTTCAGAGAGAGGAAGGGAGAGAGAGAAAGAAACATCGATAATGACAGAGAATCATTGATTGGCTGCCTCCTGCACGCCCCCTCCTGGGGATGGAGCCCGCAACCTGGGCTTGTGCCCTGACTCGAATGGAACCGTGACCTCCTTGCTCATGGGTGGATGCTCAACCACCGAGCAACACTGGCCGGGCGCCCGTGCTGTTTCTTATACCATCTCTGCTCCTCCCTCAGTGTGCCTGCTCCCCTGCCCGGGTCCATGCAGAGGCCCAGACACTGGGTTCTGCTGCCGAGGCAGGAATATGAAAGAGGCTTCTTGGTTGGGGCAGGTTCTTTTTCAGCTCCCTGGGCTTCTTGCCCTGGGGGAAGAAGGGGCCTTGTGGCTTGAGGATGTCTGACTTGCTAGTGACCTCATGTGTCCCTCTGGGCCTTGCACACAGGACTTTAGGGTAGTATGTCCCTGGGATCTTGTACCCACTGAAGCACCCCTTAGTCCTGAACCTTATGCTATCAGTGTCCCCTTTCTTCCTTAAAACTCTTTGATCTCTAACTCTGACTCCCAGGCTCTATAGAGGGGCAGGTGTCAATCTGAGAAACTCCTCTTCCCAGCGAGGATTACTCATGTGTTTTCCTGGCTACTTTTCTATGTGTAGGATAGTCCCTGCACATACATATACATGTGTATGTAATACATGTGCACACACAAGGCACACATGCAGACACACATGCACACGTGCACACAGAGTTGCAGTAGTTTAACCTTTAAAAGACGGCATTTAAAAGACAGCATCATACAAACCATATATTTTCCAGGATCAACTGTACAAATAATGGTTTCTTTCCTTTAGCCTGTGAAAAAGAACGTATATGCTTAGGTTTCTGAGTATTTAACAGATAGAACAGGGGCCAGAGAGGACATAGGCTGAACAGCCTGGAACATGGGTTCAGCCCTAGCTCTGACCCTCTGTAACTGCAGAAAAACCATATCCTGCTTCCATCTTTGTGTCTTTTAAAAAAAAATGTTTTTATTGATTTTTAGAGAGAGAAGAAGGGAGATGGATAGAGAGATAGAGACATCGATGAGAGAGAAATGTCATTGACCGGCTGCCTCCTTCACGCCCCCCACTGGGGAGTGGGTCCAAAACCCAGGCATGTGTCCTGACCGAGAATCAAACCGGTAACCTCTTGGTTCATGGGTCGGTGCTCAACCACTGAGCAACACTGGCCGGGCCTTTGTGTTCTTTTTTTTTTCACATGATGGAGTTAGAGCAGATGTCTTCAGGGCATCTTCTTTCTGTGATCTAGGGGCAGACATATTACAGAGACCTGTAGGATGGGCACTGTGTTTGGAGGCTGGGTTTACAGTGTTCAGGCACTCTGGCTTTGGGGGCAGATAGACCGTGTTTGAGTTCTGCTGTCAGGTTGTGTGACCTTGGACAAGATACTTCATCTCTCTCACCCACTAGCTTGTCTGTAGGGTAAGATTAATTAGACCTCACTGTGTCAGGATTAGTGAGGTGATTTATGCACCAAGGCTGATGAGGTAGAGATGACATGTTATTACTGGTCTCAGCTCCACCCCGAACTTACTGAGCGGTTTTGGGTAAACTAAATGAGCTTTTCGAGGTCTCAGTTTCCTCCTCTGTAGACTGGAGTTTGGACGAGTAGATCTTCAGCACCTTCCTTTACCATCTCCCCACACGCACAGCTCAGAGAGGGGACTATGCGAATGGGGCCATTAGGAGATTCACCACACGGGAGCGATGTGAACCCACATTGAACAAACCTCTGAATTATGCTGCTCTTTAGGAAAAAAGTTTACCCTCTTGGATCCATTTCTCATTCTGTATCCCCTCTTCTGTTTTTTATTTATAACTTCTTTTAATTGGAAACTGCAGAAATGCTCAACATCATAAATCTGAAACAACCTAAGTGTCCTCACTTGCTCGACTCAGGCCTTTCTATGATGCATGTATCTGAAAAATGTGTGCTGACAATTAGAAACATTCACTTTTGACCAAATTGCAACATAAAACTATTGATAAAAAACATTTCCAAAGGCATAAAAAGGCATAATTTGTTGAAAATAAAGTACAAATTTAAAAATATTAAAATCTGTCTAAACAAATTCCATCATATCTTTTAATGTTTTATACATGATTTTTTCCTATTTCTGATCAATGGATCAGAAATATGTTAAAAAACATACAAAACAAAAAGAAAATAATGAACACTCCAAGTTCTTTCCATCCAGAGTCTATCATTGTTAATACTTTGGTGTATATATATATATATCTTAATGTCTATCTATCTGAATATATATTTTATATTGAGAACTTACTGTTTTTTACCTTGCTTTTATCACTTAATAATATATTGTGAATATCTTTCCATGTCAATAAATTAACTTTTTAAAAGAAACATTTTATTTCAGAATAGTTTTAGAGTTACAGAAAAATTGTAAAGGTAGTATACACATTGTTCCCGTGCACCCCACCTCCAGTTTCTTTTATTAGTAACATCTTAAATTAGTATGATACATTTGTCACAATTAATGAACCAATATTAATATACTATTATTACCTAAGATCTGTTGGGAATCGAACTTGCAACCTGGTATGTGTTCTGATCAGGAATTGAACCAGCAACCTTTCAGTGCACAGGACAATGCTCAACTAACTGAGCCACTCTGGCCAGACTTTTGTCTAGTTTTTATTCATTGAGTCATTCGTGCTCAAGGCGTACACTCGGGTCACCTCAGTCATTCCCTGCTGTTGGGTGTCCTTTGCCCCAGCTGAGGTCTGGGAGAGTTTTTCCTATTTCTAAAATCTTTCTCAGCACCTGGGAGAGGATTGAGCCCCTCTCCCCAGACCTGCTACTCTTTCAGCAGTTTCTTTTCTTTGAGTATTAACACTGTTTTACAAAAGGATTTTGAAAAAATGCTTTCCCTACTTTTCATGAGGGAACCAGCTTAGGGACTAATTCTGGGAGGGGGCCACGGACCCAGAGCAGCCTTTGGGCAGTGGGCTGAGCAGTTCCACAGACAGACTCTGGCCAGGGAGCCAGAACACTTGGTTTCTGAGCCCAGCTTCATGCAGGTCTTGCCTGAGGACCCTGGATACGTCCCAGGCCCCTCTGCTTTGTGGTCTCTCCATTGAACTTGGCCTGGGGACTCCAAAGGGCAGGCTTGAGAGCAGGGAATTCGGAGGGGCTTAGGCATTTTATGAGGCAGAAGGAAGCTGCTTCCTCCTCCCTGGTTACCAGGCAAAACTCCCTTCTCCCTTCGTCAGCTTCCCTGCCTCCTTTCCCTCCCCATGCTCTGCTCGGGGCCTCAGGCTCTTGAGGGGATTGAGCTTCTGTGCTGTGAAGCCAGGGAGGGGCATTCTGAGGGCCGCGGGGACCCATTTGCAGGTAAAAGCCCCACCTGCCTTCTCTTTATAGCCTTTGATCCGCGTCTTTTCTTTCTTTCCCTTGCTCTCGTTCTCACTCCAGCTTTCCTCAGTCTCCTGCCAGCTTCGTGTGTTCTGTCTGCTCACCCACCCTTCTGCCTACCTGCTCCACCGCGCTCTCAGATGGAGCTATTCTACCCGTTATAGCTCTTTGCTCCTAGAACCCAGAACTCAGGTGAGAGGAACAAACCACCTTCCAGCTCCCAACCTCCGGGAAGGCCCCATCCTCAGCTCCCCTCGGGTACCTTCTTTCTGCCCTCGGGTTCCTGGGCGGGAGCTGCCAGCAGCCGGGGGCTCACCATCCCGCTCCTGGTAACTCGGTGTTCCTGTGGGCGATTCCATACCTTTCCTGAGCCCTCTCCTGGCTCCATCGTCATCTGTCCTTGGGGACATGGGGCGTAGCAATGACACAGCAGTAACTGCGTTCATTTTGCTGGGGTTCTCAGGGTTTCCTTCCCTTCAGGGCCCTCTGTTTTGGGGGGTGCTCTGCATCTACTTGGTCACCTTGCTGGGCAGCTCCGTCATCATCCTCCTCACGCTGGCCGACCCTGTCCTGCGCTCACCCATGTATTTTTTCCTTTGCCACTTCTCCGTGGTGGAGATCTTCTACACCACAACCGTCGTGCCCAGGATGCTGGCCGATCTCCTCTCCTCCTGCCCCACCATCCCCCTTGCCAGCTGCTTCACCCAGATGTACTTCTTTGCCCTCTTTGGCATCACCGAATGCTGCCTGCTCACCACCATGGCCTACGACCGCTTTGCTGCCATCTGCCGGCCGCTGCATTATACCACCCTGATGAACCGGGGCGCGTGTGCCAGCATGGTGGGGGCCTCCTACCTCATGGGCATCATCGCCGGCACCACGCACTCCATCTTCATCTTCACGCTGCCCTTCCACGGTGCCAACACAGTCCATCACTTCCTGTGTGACATCCTGCCTGTGCTGAGACTGGCTAGCGCAGGCACCTTCTGGGCTGGAGTGGGCAACCTTGCCGTCACAGTAGCCTTTATCCTGACCCCCTTCTTACTGATCACAGCCTCCTGTGCCTGTATCCTTGCCACCATCCTCGGGATAGCGACAACCCAGGGGCGTCGGAAAGTCTTCTCTACCTGTTCCTCCCACCTGTTTGTGGTCACGCTCTTTTTTGGGACTGGGACTGTTGCCTATATGAGGCCTTCGGCAGGCTCCTCTCAGGATGCAGACCTGGTCCTTGCCCTCTTCTACACAGTTGTCACTCCCATGTTCAACCCTTTTGTCTATACACTGAGGAACAAGGAGGTCACGGGGGCAATGAGGAGGCTCCTGAAGAAATACCGTTGGAGCCCTTGATCCCCTCAAGTTCTTGGAGATAAGGGCCTGATCCTTGAATAATTTCAAGGAGAAGGGAGAAGCTGGAACTGCAGTCCTCAGGAATCTGGCCAGCTCTGCGTGGGGTGTGTGGGGTTCCTTGTCCTGCATAGCTCATGGGCCCAAAGCACTGACACGATGCCCAGAGCTCTGCTCATGGGCCTTGACCCGACTTGTGTGTAGGTGCAGAGCTGAGAAACATGCACTTGAGGGAAGGCTGAGGAGAGAAGGCAGCTGTGCCCAGCTGTGTGATGACTGAGCAATCCCTGGTCTCCCCTGAGGCTCAGGGTACCTTCCTGGGGCTATGATTCCTGGGGACACCACTCTTCCTTCTCCCAATCTCCTCACTGCAAGTCTCTGTCTCTCATATTAGTCACCTCCTTTGCTCCAGGTGCGAGGCCTGATGGGGGTGACTGGGAGGCAGGGAAGGAATGGGGGCAGGGAGCGGTTGGCCTGGCTTTGGCAGTTTAAGCGTCATCTTGGTTGGTTCTGCTTTAGGTCTGGAAACATCTGGCTAGTTACTTTGTCTCTGACTTACAGCTTCTCTCCTGGGACCCCTGAAATGTTGCTATTCTCTACTTAGCTTCTTTCTCAGCTGCTGGCTGACTGGCTCTTCATTTCCTCCTCTGGTCATGCAGCAGAAATGCACAAACACCTCTCTCCCCTGACAGATGGGAAGATTGGATCAGGCCCCTAAGCTCCCAAGATAATGCTTTTGTTTCTTGCAAACTGTCCACTATTTCTACCTGGAGTCCACTTTAATTTGCTGGCCAGAGGGATCTAGACCATTTTACTTTTCCTGGGAAGGCAGTTCTTGCTTGTTCATAAACTTGCCTTTAGCAGTAAGTCTCAGGAGGGAGCAGTACACGCAGGTAAATCACTCTCAAGGTACAATAGATGAGGACCTTCAAAATAGCTTTAGTTAAAATTACCTAGTTTACAAAACTAGCACTCTTTAAAAAAAAATAGTTTATTGATTTTTAGAGAGAGAAGAAGGGAGAGGGAGAGAGAAACATCAATGCGAGAGCACAACATCAATTGACTGCCTCCCATATGCACCAAGACTTGGGACTGAACCCCCAAGTTGTACAAGTGCCCTGACTAGGAATTGAACTGGTATCCTCCTGGTGCACAGGACGATGCTCAACCAACTGAGTCACACTGGCCAGGGCATAAATTAGCACTCTTAATTGCAGAGAATTTTGCATCCAGAAGAAAAAAAAACATTAATATTTTGATGTTAATGTCCTTGGAAAATTATTGCAGTGTGGCTTCTCTCTGTATAGTATATGTATATATACAGGTTTTTAAGAACTAAAAATGGGATTATATTGTCTAAATTGTTCTATAACCTCTATTTTCTACTTCATTAAGCTATGTTGCAGCATTTTACCACATAAGTAGGCTTCTAAAGTATGGTTTTAATATCCATATTGTATCCTACTATATGAATGTACTATAATTCATTGATTTATTTTTATTTTTATTTATTTATTATTTTTTAAAATATATCTTTATTGATTTCAGAGAGAGGAAAGGAGAGAGAGAAAGAGAGAGAGAGAGAGAGAGAAACATCAATGATGAGAGGGTCATTGATCAAGCCCTCAACCCGGGCATGTGCCCTGACCGGGAATTGAACCCTGATCGCCTTGATCCTAGGTCGACGCTCAACTGCTGAGCCATGCCCGGCCGGGAATATTTTCACATATTCTTTTTTAAAAAAATATATCTTTATTGATTTCAGACAGAGGAAAGGAGAGGGAGAGAGAGAGAGACAGAAACATCAATGATGAGAGAGTCATTGATCGAGCCCACAACCCGGGCATGTGCCCTGACTGGGAATCGAACCCCGATCGCCTGGATCCTAGGTGTATGCTCAACCGCTGAGCCACGCCCGGCCGGGCTATTTTCACAGTGTCTTTATTTTATTTTAAAATTTTAACATTTAAGTATAGTGGATATACAGTGTTCTATTAGTTATATGACTTTCAGATGTGCAATAGAGTGCTGTAATTTAAAGCNCACATATTCTTTATTTTATTTTAAAATTTTAACATTTAAGTATAGTGGATATACAGTGTTCTATTAGTTATATGACTTTCAGATGTGCAATAGAGTGCTGTAATTTAAAGCAATCTCCTATTATTGGAATTAAATCTTCTTTGTTACAAATATCACTGAGATAGATATCTTGCATTTATATCTTTGTACGTATACTTTTCTGAGCACAAACTTCTAGAGATGGAATTACTGAGTCAAAACATGCACAGTTTTGGAGCTTCAAGACATATTGCCAGATTGCCCTCCAAAAGAATTTTTATTGTTTTATAGTCCAATTGAGGGCAGCCCAATTTCCAGAGCAAGGAAATGAACTAAAAGTCAGGAGTGAGTTGAGGTTAGATGGCAGGGGGAAGAGAAGGATGGGCTGGTATGAATATTTAATATTCTTTTTTTTTTTTTTTTTAAAAACCATTACAGAACTTTTATTTACTTATTTAAAAACCATGTCTTTATTGATTTCTGAGAGAGGAAGGGAGAGGAAGAGAGAGAGATAGAAACATCGACCGGCTGCTTCCTGCACTCNAAAACCATTACAGAACTTTATTTATTTAAAAACCATCTCTTTATTGATTTCTGAGAGAGGAAGGGAGAGGAAGAGAGAGAGATAGAAACATCGACCGGCTGCTTCCTGCACTCCGCCTCCTGGGGACTGAACCTGCAACTCAAGTATGTGCCCTGACTGGGAATCAAACAGGCAGTTGAACCGGCAGTCAAACTGGGATCTCCTGGCTCAACCGCTGAGCCATGCCGGCCAGGCTTAATATTCTTATGAAACAGAAAATATCTGATGAGGAGGAAATGAACTCAATCTACCAAGGACTGGGTGAGATATAGTTGGCCTAGAAGTGCATTTATGAGGCATCAAAGTTAGATACAAGGAATGACTTCCTGATAGAGCTGGTATCTGAACAGGACAAGGGGAGAGGCTTTTCCTTCACTGTTCTGAGCTGGGGGAGGAGGCAAGAGGAGACCATGATGAAATGTGACTGGCTCACCTTAGGTAGCTTCACGCTTCTCTTACCTTACCTTAGCTGTGTCGTTGATGACACAGGCATTGTGGAGCAGGGACAAGCCATCCCTGTTGTGCTTTAAATTCCTGAACTGCAGAAATTATGAACATAATAAAATAATTGTTACATGCCATTAGATTTGGCATGGTTTGTTATGCAGTAATAGATAACTTGAGCACCACCCAGTTAATGAAGAGAGGTGAGTCATATCAACACATTAGAAAAAGATTTGGAGTTCTTGTTGATTAGATATCAAACACTGACATCAAAGAAGAAAACAAAACTTAATATGCTACTACAATGAGAACCTCAAGGGTATAAACTGGCTAAAGAGTGAAGTCAATTCATAGACTATTTAAGATAATTCATTGCACAGGAAAATTTGAAACGTTGTGAAAAGCTGCAGGTAATATATGAGCCCTTTTGGGCATGGCTCAGTGATTGAGCATCGACCTAAGATCCAGGAGATCGAGGTTCGATTCCAGGTCAGGGCACATGCCTTGGTTTTGGGCTCGATCCCCAGTCGGGGGTGTGCAGAAGGCAGCCGATCAATGACTCTCGCATCATTGATGTTTCTATCTCTCCCTCTCTCTTCCTCTCTCTGANTTTGGTTTTGGGCTCGATCCGCAGTTGGGGGTGTGCAGAAGGCAGCCGATCAATGACTCTCGCATCATTGATGTTTCTATCTCTCCCTCTCTCTTCCTCTCTCTGAAATCAATAAAGACATATTAAAAAAAAATCAATAATGAGTTGTGAAATTGAAAAATTCCTTTCTACACTATCAATTAAAGAATAACAAATCTCAATCAGTCATGCTAGGGGAAAAACAAATCATTTCTAATCTCTGTGGAGAAAGTGCATCACAAAATCACTGTTATGTGCATAGGAAGGTAATCAAAGAATACACAGCGAAAACGTAGGATAAAAAGAACCATGGAGGTGACCAGGCAGTTAATTAACCAAAACGTTATTTTTCTGGATTGTATGACATTTGTGGCATTTGCCACTTAAAAAAGTTCCTAATTCTGATAATTTCTTTTTTTCATTTAAAATAAACATTTATACTTAATTTTGTATTTGTACTTTTGTCTTACTTTATTAAATAAGGCCATCTCAAATTATGTGTTAGGTCCCACAGAATTGGGATCCATCCCTGTACTTACCACATAGGATTTTTATGGGAATTAAATAAAATAATTNGTTATGTAAGTGTTAGGTCCCACAGAATTGGGATCCATCCCTGTACTTACCACATAGGATTTTTATGGGAATTAAATAACATAATTATNATTATGTGTTAGGTCCCACAGAATTGGGATCCATCCCTGTACTTACCACATAGGATTTTTATGGGAATTAAATAACATAATTATTATTTTATTTATTTATTTTAAAAAATATCTTTATTGATTTCAGAGTGAGGAAGAGAGAGGGAGAGAGAGATAGAAGCATCAATGATGAGAGAGAGTCATTGATTGGCTGCCTCCTGCAGACTCCCAACTGGGGATGGAGCCCACAACCTGGGCCTGTACCCTGACCGGGGAATTGAACTAAGACCTCCTGGATCCTAGGTCAATGCTCAACCGCTGAGCCACGCCTGGCCAGGCTAAATAAGATAATTATTAGTCAAGAGGTTAGTATCATGCTACTATACTAATAGAGTATGTACTCAAACAATATTAGCTATTATTATTACTATTTATTCTGACTCAGCTGCCTTTCTGTGCTTCCTGTTCAGGCCCTTATCACTTACTTTATGCTCCAAATTTCTACCAGCCCACTGCACTGCTATTTTCCCTTATTTTCAATGGAGAGTGTGCTGGAATCACCTGGACTTTAGTTACAGCAGTGGGATCTGTGACTGATGGATATTTGTCTTGTTTTCTGTTTTTCCAGAATCCCTTGAACACT